TCCCTCCCTCCCTCCCTCCGTCCCTCCTTCCTTCCTTCCTTTCTTGTTGAGACAGGATCTGTCTATGTAGCTCTGGCTGTCCTGGAACTCAACTCTGCAGACCAGGCTGACCTTGAACTCACAGAGATCCACTTGCCTCTGCTGGGATTAAAGGCATGCACCACTATGTCTGGTCCATCTCTCAGTGCTGTCCAGGCCTGCTGCTGAGGGTCCTTTCCACAGGCCACTGGTCAGCCTCACAGTGACCACTCCGGGGTGTGTGGGGGGGAGCAGCCTGCCCACATCTGGTTGGTAGCGGCTGGGTGAGGAACAAGGACACGTGACAGAGCTTGGCTGTCCCAGCAGCCCTGGAGCAAAGAGGGCCTAGAAGAAAGGTCGTGACCACAAGGCCTGTCTAAGGGAGCTATCACGCCTGGATCTTTGGGTCCCAGCTTCTGTCAGGAGAGCCTCCCACAGAGCCAAAGTGGGGGTGCCTCTGCTGGAATAATGGCAGAAGGCCCTGGGCAGTGGTCGGGGGCAAAGAGACCTGGAGCCGTCCTCTTGGGGCCTTCCTGTGTGGCAGGGTCATCCTCACTGTCCTCCCGGCCTGAGCTCTGGCGGCGACCCTGGTGGCCTCTGGGCAGGCCCCCTTCCCTCCCAACTTCCCCCCCTGTCCTCCTGTGGCAGAACTCCGCTTGGAAGGGAACTACCTCCATCGCCTCCCCAACGAGGTCAGCGGCCTGCAGCACCTCAAGGCCATCGACCTGTCCCGGAACCAGTTCCAAGACTTCCCGGAGCAGCTGACCACCCTGCCTGAACTGGAGACCATCAACCTGGAGGAGAATGAGATCGTGGGTGAGCGTGGCTGCTGCTGTCCGAGGCTCTGCAGAGCGCGGAGCGCTGGGATTTCTTTTCTGTGGGCACAAACAAGCCAGACTTGACGTTGCCCAGGCCAAGACACCTGAGCAGACAATGAGCCGGGGACGATAACCACTGCCCAGCCCTGCCACCTGCCAGGTGCTAGCTCAGACACTCACCTCCGTCAGCAGCCTGAGCTTTTCCCCATAGCCCAGCCTGAACCTCTCAGGACAGTGTGGGCCTCGAGCCCCGACTCCCTAGCTTTTCACATACCACCCTAGGCTGTCTCCAGTCCCCTTTAGCCACAAGCCCCTTTTTACACTGAGCCCTACTTGAATCTTCTGTCCTCACAGCAAGTAGCGGGGCGGGGTGGGGGGGTGGTGCAGGCTGGTCCTGCTTAGAGCAGTCCCTCAGGGCCCCCACTGTGAGGACGCATCAGGCCCGTACCTCCTATGCACAGCAGCCCCCAGAGGCTGGGTTCTGCTAAGGTTTAGAGTGTGCCCTCCCTCCCTCCGTACAGTGCCTGTCTGCCACGCCGGGACCTCACAGAACGGAGCGTCCTCTCCAGCTAGGAGCCGGATGTCCCCAGAGAGAGCAGATGCTCACTGGTCCCTTTGTGTCCTCATCTGCCTGGCTCTTAGTTCCCCCGGCCCCATCTCGCCCTCTCACTGCGTCTCTGTCATCCACGGCTGTTCTTCCGGTGGCAGCCACATGGCCTCGAGTCCCCTTCAGCTCCACTCTGATTTTTCCCAAGTGTTCTTCTTATGGCCCTTTATGCCACTTGATAAAAGGCAATGGCCTTCGGAGTGGTTTGGGCTGTGGCAGGGGAATGTCTTGTGTGGTAGTCAGTGCCTGTGTATCCAGGATGCTGTCTGTGGGCAAGACTTCTGACCTGGCCAGGTTGGGAAGAGGTGAAACCAGCTGACCTTTTCCAGTTCTAGGTCTGTTGTTTTGTTACTGTTATTTTTTAATTTTAAATTACATTTACTTATTTATTGTACGTATGTGTCCGTGCACGCGCACTACAGAGTATACGTGGAGGTCAGGAGACGACTTCTACCGTGTGCGTTTTGGGGATTGAACTCGGGTCACCAGGCTTGGCAGCAGGGTCCCTTTGACAATGGAGCCGTCTCGCTGCTCCCACCCCCTTCTCTGACCCATGAGTAAAATGAGCTCCTAAGTGTTACGAGAGAGCATTAGATTGCATAGAGAGACTGCACAAGAAAAAAACCCATGATTGTGAACCTCAGCCCAGTGTCTGGTGAGCCGCCCCCCCCCCCCCCCCCCCCCCCCCCCCCCCCCCCCCCCCCCCCCCGGCCTCAGAGAAGCCTTTGGCCACGGGCGCTCCCGAGGCCTGGGGTCCCCTCAGCAGTCTGGCCTGACTTGGCTCACTAGTCACTTGGTCCTCTATGTCGTCGTCTCTAAGCAGAAAGAGCGTCCCCCAGGTGCCCTGTACCGCGAGGTCTCCCGTCTGTGCCGCCCCAGCCACCCAAGCTACGCTGAGCTCTCTGTCTGTCTCGTATTCCCGGCTCTGCCTTTCACTGGCCCCTCACTTCCTCTGCCTCTGCCTCTTCCTGCAGCTGATCCAAGTGAGCCAGTCATCGGGCAAGGGCTCCTGGGGTCAGTGCCAAGTCCAGAGCTGAGCAGGTGAGCCAGGACAAGGTTCTGGGCAGCTCTCTGAATGAAAGTGATATGGATCAGGGGCCACTTGGTACTTGGGTCACTACCCCAGAAGGGAGTCAGGGATGAGGAAAAAAAAAAAAAGTGTCTGTCAAGCTTGAGCAAAGACTGAATGTCTGCTGCAGCCCATAAAGTGACTATCACTAAGTCAGGCAAGACCTAGGGGTCCAGACACTTTCATATTCCTCTCCCTCAGAGCAGCGCCACAGCAAGGACAAGCCACATTGGCTCACTGTCACACACACACACACACACACACACACACACACACACACACACACACATCACTCTGCCTTTCTAGGGAATGACAATAACAACTTGTCACATGTGCTTACAGCTTAGCAAATCTGTGATGCATATCCTCACTTGATACGTGGAGAAACTGAGGCTCTGAGAGGTCCTCCTAGCCTTTGTGGCCAAGTTCCTTTTGCACACTTGGTCAGGGAAAAGGGACCTCAGTGCCTAGGCTGTTTCCTAGTCAGTTTAAGCCCTAGTCAGAGGCCAGTGCTGGGGAATACAGAGATGGGTGGGGAGGGACAACCCCTGGTGGTCCCCAAGCAGCAGCAGCTGCTCTAGCGGTGTCCAGTTAACCTCAGGTAGTCATCAGACTGCTGCAGGGGACTTGGTTGTTCTCATCTAGAGAGAGGGAATGGACCGAGGCAGCCATCGTACCCTGCCGAGTTGCCCCAGTTCTCCCGGGTCTCTTCTAGTTACCCAGCGGCTGTTCTGCTTCCAAATCAATGGGAAGGACATAGCACATCCTTCATAGCCCTTCTGGAGTGAGACAAGCCCCAGAGTAGAGGGGGAGCCGTCGCCAGTGAACACAAGGACCAGTCGTCCTTCAGTGGGAAGAGCTTTGTGCTGTCCGCCGGCTCCCGTTCATCTCCCACTAGACTGTAATTACAGTCAGAGCTTGGGATATCTTCAAAGTGACTTGTTTCTCCTTAGAACTTTAAAGCGGTGTTGGATAAAATAAAGCCAAATTTTTATGAGAAATGTCTTTTTTAAAAAAAACCTTTTGCCATGGGATTTTTATTACATTTATTTATTTATTTTATGGGGGTTGGGGCATGAGCCCCAGTGCCTATGAAGAGGTCAGGGAACAACTTGCAGAAGTTGGTTCTCTCGTGCCTGGCACAGTGGTGCACGCCTTTAATCCCAGCACTTGGGAGGTAGAGGCAGGCGGATCTCTGTGAGTTCGAGGCCAGCCTGGTTTAACATAGTGAGTTCCAGGACAGCCAGGGCTGTATAAAGAGAGAGCTTGTCTCAAAGAAAAAGGAAAAGTAAAAGGAAAAATGAAGGAAGAGAGAGGAGAAAGAGAGAAAGAGAGAGAAAGGAAGAAAGAAAGAGAGAGAGAAAGGAAGAAAGAGAGAAAGGAAGAAAGAAAGAGAGAAAGGAAGAAAGAAAGAAAGAAAGAAAGAAAGAAAGAAAGAAAGAAAGAAAGAAAGAAAGAAAGAAAGAAAGAAAGAAAGAAA